AGAGAGAGAGAGAGAGAGAGAGAGAGAGAGAGAGAGAGAGAGAGAGAGAGAGAGAGAGAGAGAGAGAGAATATATTACAGTATTCGACATCACACCGAGAGCAAACTACATTACAAAAGCAAGGTAGCTTGTCTAGACATCGTTACCCTTTAGGTCCAATTCTTTGGTAGGTCCACCAGATATCAAGAGTCACAATCCCTTGATACTGGTTGGTTTTTGGGCTGTACGCTACACCGGGCTTGGTGTTCTTTTGCGTAGCATACACTTTACAGCCACAATAAGCACAACTAACAAGGCTAAACCACCCATAAGCCCCAACAAAATGGCAATCTTGTTGCGGTCAAAGAAGCTCGAGTCATTTCCGGAATTTCTTTTTGGCCAGTCTACTGCGCGGTACTGGAGCATAAAACCTTTGCCCTGAAGCTCTGATCCTGAGTAGAACTCAATCGTGGCTTCCTTAGCCGTAGTGGGATAATTAGCTTTGTGTTCCTTGCTGTTGTTACACAAGGAAAAACTTTTGGATCCATAAATGGACGGGTACTGCAGAAACAACCGATCGTCATAGACACCGAACTTGTTACACGTCAGACTTGGGTCGAGTCGTGGAATGTCCAAATCGAGGATATTTATCTCGATGATTTTAGAGGCGTCTTCAGAAATCAGAATGTACCCGCATTTCGAGTCGGGTGGGTATGGGTTCGGGTAGTTTGGTGACGTCAGGTTCTGGAATTCGCCGCTGCTCGGGACGGTGATGTTCAGCAGGGTGCCCCCGCAGCCTGTAATGAGCGTGGTCTCAGCGGTGAATGTCAAGTTTAATGTCTCGTTGCGCGCTTTGAACTCCCCTATGTTGACGGACAGAAGCATCTGGTTTTGTCTGCTCACGACCACTTGGTCTGACGTCATGTTGCAGGCGGTGAGGACATGTCCATTGGCCAGCACTGGAGAGAAGCTAACTGAGTCGTCTAAATGTGCAATGCATCGGTATTTGGCCATGAAGTCAAACGTCATGTTGGTCAAGCGGACAGCCTGGTCGTCAGAACCAGTGAAAAACATCCAGTTACACTGCACTCGCCCCGGGCAGAAAGTGACGGAGCGGGACACCTGCCCACCGCCCAGGTAAATGGTTTCGTTACATGGCACGTTGCAGGGATCTTGCGCTGATGATGTCGACATCAGGACACCTGGGGAAAGAGAAAGAGAGAAAGGAGGGCGAGTGAGAGAGAGAGAGAGAGAGAGA